CTTGTGGTTCATCCCAGGGCTTCAATTTACTGTTATACAATTTTACAAACTGTATTTTAAATAATGAAGTGGTCATACAAAAAGTGCATCAGAAATTAAAATGATAAATACTTTGAAATTAAAATAAGTTGAAATTAAAATGAGTTTCTGCTCACTCAAAATCCTAAAAAAAATTCTGGTGGGCCAATAAAATTAGGGAATAAGGTAAAAATAAGTACATAAGTGTATTAGCTTTTTGTTTTGTTTAAAGCTCTCACTGAAAATTCCTTCTTTTACATTAATCATACTTCAGATAAACCTTATTCTCATTCAGTATTATTACAATATCTGTTTTAAAATTGTTCAGAGCAGAAAAATGTTTTGGGGAACATAATCTCAAAGTCTCGAATTTTGTTTGCAAAAAAAGATTGTGAACCAATCCTCACAGACAAATCAGGGTGCACAACTGCATATTTTATAGTATATTGAGATTGCTATGGCTAATGGAAGAGCACTAGCAAAGTTTCAATGCAAATTTCAACATTTAACCTTTGTGCAGCAAAGATGGGATACTTTTGCAAAATGCTGTCTTTGTGAGGCAGCAAATTGAAAAAAATATGATTTTTGAACCAATGACTGAGTCAGAAAAAATTTAAAAGTTTTCTATAATCCTGCATAAAACTACGGATAAAAAAAAATCCTCCTTGAGTGGCATTTTTTCATGCATTCCCAGCATAGGATTAACATTGGGGATTTCTTGAAACAATGGGATTTCCTGCACCCAGCCTTAGGCCTTCCAACTTAGGCCTTGGCAACTTAGGGTATTTCAGTGACCTGTGCTCAAACTGAAATGCCCCTCATTCCCCAAAAAACCAAGCTTTGCCACAGGATGGCCAGAAACCCTCCACTGTCCAAAAATTAAAAAAGACTGCATTCTAATAAAATATTATAATGCCGAAGATTTGAATGCAGTGTAGTTTGAAATGCCAATTTATGATACTGAAAACAGATTGTGAGATCAAGAAAGAAAATTCAGTCTCAGCCTGTCAGATACAATGCCTAAAATTTAAGCACAAATGAGAAGCATTTTGATAAATAGGTCATCACACCATGTTTGAGCATTTTATGAATTTTCAGCAATGATAACAAAATATCTTCTCCAAGAATAGAAAAACTCTTCAACCTATTTGTCCTAAAATATTGACTATACCAAAGTCATTCCTGCATGGGGCCTCAAGGAGCAGCGGACCATGAAAAAATCTCAGGCCTTCTCCCCAAAGCGGTTTTTTGAGCTCACCTAGAAAAAAAATGGTGACGCAGAAACCAGACATTGGGTCAACTGCTCAAATACCAGGAGTGAGATTAAAATCACAAGGGAGAAAAATAATAAAGATGCAGGCAGATAAGGAACACTTATGGGAGGGAAGGTTTAATGAGGCTAAACTAAGGGGGGCCTGCTAATGATGGTGACAGACCATTGTATGCTAAGAAGGAGCAATTCTCAAAGAAATCCATGTCATGAATCAGAAACAAATGCACCCCCCATATATCATTGTTACTCAGCATTAATAGCTTTAAGAAGCAAACAAATTTGCACACCAGGTTGTGCATGTATACAGTATCATGGTGAAATCTTATTTATTCACTGAAATATCAGTAAAAACAATAAGAATCCCAAGGTTTTCAACCAAAACCCTTCTAAAATAATAAATCAATCTGCATCTTCAAAATGATAGAAAAAAGATTCACATTCATATATTTAGAAAACAAAGGAAACTATATGTCATACCCCATGCACAATATTAACTAAATTTAATAAAAAAAAATAATATATAATAATATAATTTAATAAAATTTAATAAAACCATTTGCACAGTTTCATGAAACAAAAATGGCTTTTATTTCAAATGTCATAGATTGAGTGAAAAATCAACCAAGGGCACAAAAGAGCAGAAAAATAATTGAAGTAGAAATCCTCTCTTACTTCATTTTGTAATGTATATTATGTCATAATCATAATGTTACATACAGGCAGGCAAAGATAGCAAACCACAGATAGGATTCCTTGAATAAAGAAACATATTTAGCTTTGTAAAAATGCATGTTAGACATGCTGAAACCGTTTTAAAAATATAATCTATATAAAATGGTACAACATGCTCAAATTTCCTTTACCCTTGCAAATGAGGGCATCACATTTTCACTTATAATAACTGAAACATAAGCTTTTGCAAAAATAAAAGTGATTTTACCAACTATAAGACAGTAGCATCATGTGTCTCCATGCATTGTACAAACGCTCTCATTCCTGAAATAAATCACCAAACCCTAACCCCCAGGCAGAAAAAACCGTTCCCAAATTTATTCCGCCTCTCACATAACAGTTGCGTCTCTCCCTTAAACATTCCCCCACACCTTTCGAATAATAGGCAAAATTAACAAATCACCACCACCAGAACATAAAATACAGGACTCACTTCAAAATCTGACAATCATCATCATCATCATCATCAACACTGCTGCTGCCATCAGACCCTAATTGCTGATTAATTCGACAAACCAGTCCATTAACTTTTGGTCTTCCACCAGAACCCAGTTTCTTCTTCTGCATGGCAGAAGTTGCTGCTTGCATTTCTCTGATTGCTGTCATGATGGCTGATGTTGTCACTGGCGACAGTTTTTGTTCCAACTTATTTTCTAATGAAGGAGAGAGTGAATACATTTTTTTCAAAATTATATTATAGGAAGGAAACGTTAATAAATCAGAGTATTTACCACAGCGAGGTTGCGAGGGTAGACTAGCGGCCGCCGCGCGAACTGATGCCATCACGGCTTCTTTGCAAAGTGAGTAGATGTCGCTTCCAGTGAACCCATCAGTGGCCTGCGTCAAGTTCGGAAATTTTATGTATTTTATTTTTAAATTTGCAACAGAAACGAACCTTTGCGACTGATTTGAAGTCGAAGTCCTGCGAAACTCTGCGCCAGTCCTTTTTTGAAGGGCATTGTTTGCTGGGTCCTGATGAGAGGAATTTTCTAAACAGAACCTCCCTTTCTTCAGAATTTGGGAGTTTTATCAAAACGTGTTTTTCCAAACGTCTCAGAAGAGCAGGATCAACATCCCTATGATGAGATAAAGCTGTGTAAGACAAGTGCCTAAGAATTATTGATTAAATTAGAGCTATACAAACCAGGCCATGTTTGTAGCAGCAAGGACAAAAATGTGGGTGTCAAAAGGGTTGCCAAATTCGGTGGAATTTTGGTACTTGGACTTATTTGAGTGGGTCGTCAAACCGTCCAGCTGCACCAAAAGCTCAGTTTTTGTTCGTCTGGAAGCATCGTGGTCATGTTCTGTTCTGCGGCTTCCCAAGGCGTCCAATTCATCAATGAAAATTATTGAAGGCGCCTTTTTTCTGGCCATGTCAAATAATACCTTCAAGAAAAGTGCATAGAGAACGTTTTCATCACATTTTTCACAATTGGAAACACGCACATAACATTTCAAAATTCAAAAAAGAGATGATCCTCGAAGATAATCACCTTTATTGCTTTTTCAGACTCTCCTCTCCACTTGCTGATCACAGTTGAGGCAGTGACATTGAAGAATGGTAACCCTGACTCTGAAGCAACAGCTTTGGCCAGCAATGTTTTTCCTGGAAAATACCCAAAACATGTTTCCTGAATTCTTTCTAGCAAATTTTTACATGATGTGTCAAAGAATTTTCTGACAAACTGACACAATGAAGGTAAATGATAATAATTTATTACAGATTTTTGGTGTCTGGGATCATAAATGGTATTCAATTTGAACATAAATTAAGTATTACTCAGTCATAAAAGTTGGAGTGAAATGACCTTACTCTCAAGAATTCAAGTTGAGCTAGTTTTCTGATTTTGAGGGAAGAATATATAAAGGTTTTTACAGCAGTGTCTGTTATAGACTTATAGTCAGCTTATTGATAATTTAAGAATTGAAATTTACACTCACCAATAATTATGGTGTCTAAATTTCATTGCCTGGTGAGTTTCTGAAATCAATGGAATGCTTAAGAATTTTAAGTTGATCATAAAAGTTATTTCAAAGTAGAGTCAGATCATCATATAAGAAATTACATATTTTTGCAGATGAGGGAACCATAATTTTTTGCAGCATACAATGAATGATTATGTGACATGAGTTTCAATCAGGGGGAGGATGGTTTCTGACCAGTCCCAGGTGGTCCATGGAGTAAGAGTCCCTTCCAAGGCTCAAACCCTTGAACAAAGACCTCTGGAAACCTCCTTGGATAAACAATGGCTTCCCTAAGAACTTGCTTTGCAGATTCCATCCCAACAACATCTTCCATAGACACTCCCAAGTCCCATGAAACAACATCCCTGGCAATTTGTTGAGCAATCTCTCTCATCTCCTCTCCAGCTATTCCAAGGCTGA